GCGTATCGCTTGAGCCATATATCAACATTTATACAGTGTGCTTCTACAAATAGTGATCATGTAAGAGTGCTTGTTCTAGATATGATGGGCTCAATCACCTTGTAGTTTATCAAGAGAACCTGCAACGTTGTGGCGAATGCCATAAAAAAGTTCAATTCCGCTGCAGAAAATGTAGTGTTCCACTACATCCTAAAACGTGTTTCGAACAGTATCACACCGAATAGTTATTTGTTTTATGTCTTGCAATATGTCTCCTTGAAATAAAATTTGTGCTATCAGCAGGTCATTTTACTACCGTCCTTTTTAAAGAACACCTCGTAACCGTTAGTTAGGGATAAAAAAGTTCATAAACTGGTTTTGGTTGTTGAAATGGAGTCAATTTACTGCACTCTCACTAAGAAATCCGCAAATATTGGGAAAAAATATTTCATTTTCGAAATTAGGCCATGAGGAGTGTTGGGCCTTTGAGATATTCTCACAATATTCAAAAGGTAGAGGTCACCAAAAAGACAGCCTATGTTTCGATTGTGACGAATGCAGATCTTGGAATGGCCATCATAACCGATATATATCTACAAGAGAAAACTATCAAAAAGACTGTGCTGAATTAGAAGCCGTTGTGACAGTGGACCTGTAATAGGTATATATTTTTCTGAACTGTTCTCTTTTGAAATTTATATGTATCAACTACTTCAGGTCATTATGCTTCCCCGTTGTGATACCTTCAAAGACGTAATTTTTGTCCCGAGGCTGATCGCCTTCAATGAGAGTTTCATTCCTGGAGGAAAAAGAGCAATAGTTCCACCTGTGGCGGTTCTATGGCACGAAGCAATTGCAGGAAAAGGCAAACAAGATATTAAAAGTGCTTTTTATAAATACTTCTTGCAAATTCGTGACACAGAACAGGTAACTTTATGGGCTGACAACTGTTCAGTACAGAATAAGAATTGGTGTATATTTAGTTTCTTTGTGTACTTGGTTAATTCCAAAGTCGCTCTGAAGCACTTGCATGTGAAATACTTTGAATCAGGTATACGTTCCACCATGCAGTAGAGAAGTCGTTGAAAAAAGGGAAAAGTATATGATTTTGGTGATTATGTGGATGCTGTGAAGACGTCTTTCAAAGGAATCAACGTAGCAGTGATGAACGAGCAGTCATTTTATTCCTGGGAAGACCACCCGTCCCAGTATAAGCTGAATAAAATAACACCGAGGCCTTATCTCAAGTCCATGGTTGAAGTTCATTTTACCAGAGGAGAAGGAACCATTCAGTACCGAGAGTCTTTTGAGGGACCATTCATTTCACTGAATTTTTTAAATCATAAGAGCCTCAAAACTGGAATTAAAATGCCGAATTCGGTAGAGGTTCCTAGAGGAATCACTGTTGAGCGAAAGTAGACTATAATTTCAAGACAATGGTCTATTTTCCCTCCCAATACACTAAAGTTTTGGGAATCTCTACCAACAGTAAACAAAGAGGAGGGAGCAATTATTGAAGATACTGACTGAGACCAATGGTCTATGTTTGGAATTTATATTTTTCGTTTATAGTCTAAATATGTTTCAGTAATAAAGTTTTCTTTTCTTTTCTACTCGTTATTTTTATAACTCATTTAATCTGATGATAGAATTCAAAGGCGTATCTGTTATTCGCATTGTTTATGTTAATCGAAAAGGGCGTATCTATCAAATATCTTATTTGGAATCAAATTTTGGAATTCAAAGGATAAAATAGAATAACCATCACTATTCATACTTATTCTATACAATAAAAGTCCTTATTTTTGTAAAACATCATGACGGCATCAGTGAAAACATAAATATTCAATTTTCCCCGTTCTTTCTTTTAGATAGATACGCCCCTTTGAATCAACAGGGCAGAGTTAGTGTTTGAATAAATTTCTTCATTAAAAAAAAGTCCGATAATTATATATGTATTTTGTGCCAATGCTTTTAGGACGAATGTACGTTTTATCAACTCTCAGCATTCCTGCAATGTATTCTTGATGGAGACACGCGTTTGTTCGAGTTATAAGCGTTTTTCTAAAAAACCGCTGAAGAGCAACAAATTTAATGTCGACCACAATGCTCGTCAGATGTAGGTATACTGAAGAGCAAAAAAAGGCATCTTGGCTTTTCTGTCATGTTACAGAACTTTTGTTAAGTTAGGAGCACTTGAAACAACTCAATCCCTTTTTAATACCGTCTGAGTTCTCGAGACAGACATGGAGAAGATGGAATGTGGCTTCCACCAACAGAAACTGTTGAAGGTCAAAACAGCACAGCTTATTAATAGAGTAGATACATCTCAAAACGGCCTCAAAGGGTAAAAAATATTTTGCTGGCCTCAGATCGATACGCAGTTGAGTCATTGATTGAGGACCTCCAAGGGACTACCATATACTTTTTGTTCACCCTAACTTAAATAAGGTCAAACCTAGCTCTCACGCACGCTGTTCAATAATCCATTTGTAGAGCTTAACACGGAGGCCGTCATGGAATATCTTTCTCTCTATCTTCATACCTAATAAAACTTCGTTGTATAATCCCTCAAAAGCAGGTGCTCCGCCTATTTCGGAAGGGCTTGCTCCGTTTGATCCCCCAGCATTATTATTAGCCCCTGGGTGCTCCTGCAACCCTTGCGCGATATAGGTATGCGGCTGTCAGCGCGACCGCTCTCACAAAAATAGCAACGCTTCCCCTCTCTTCACCCCCCCTCTTCCTAATCATCGCCACTCCGCCCCGCGCTTTCCGGGAGCAGACTGCGTAACCTGTTGCAATATCAACCCAGCCTTGACCTCAAACTTCCAGCCGCCATCTCAGCAGCCCGTGACCGATGTTGCCACGTTGGAACTGACTGCCAGGATTTCGCGCGGTTAGGAGATATCTGACGTCTAATAATTTAGAATTTTGCACATTAGTCTGGATCAACAACACTTTTTGGATCAACCTCCGTGCTTGTCTGGTCAATGAAAGCACATGCGTATAAGATTCTTCTTTAAAGTATTTTCGGTCACAACGGTGACCTTCTTCAGTACATGACATTTTTATGACAATATTTTATTTATCTGTCATCCAGGTGACACTTCGTTTGTTTTTTCTTTTCATTTTCGGATTCCTATAGGGGAGACTGAGACATTTTTATTTCATATATTTGTATATGACTACGGGTTTATTTGATAAAGTAACTATCCAGAATATAGACCTGAAATACTAATAAAATAACATTAGAGGAAGTTCGGTGAATATGGAATAGTCCAGGTAATATGGGATAGCGTTTATTTCAATATTCTACCAGCACTATCTCGATTACGATTCGCCTATTGAACACGTGCCGCCACCTGTTGTTACCCGCGCATACCCGGTCAATCAGATCTACCGTCGACGAGCGGCCATTAGCAAAAGTTTGCTCGGCGAGCATGCGGAGTTTCGGTAACGCTGCAAACTTGTTCCCATAGTTTTGAAGCTTTAAGGAGGAAATTAATTTTGGCGATCAGGTACGTACACTATAGACACCAGTGCATGCACTAGCTAATATAAATATTTGGAAATGTAATTAATATCACCTCAGTATACGAACACATAACCTCTATGTGATGAGGGTTATATGGGATGTCCAATATTAGCCGATATTCCATATTTCCCGATATTCCGTATTACCCGAAATCCAGAAGTACATACAGTGTCAATTTTTTTAGAGACTTATAATGGCACCTGAAAAGCTTCTTAAAGCTAAAAGACAAACTTGGAATGTCGATAGTATGCGCAATGCAATAGATGCTGTAAGAACAAAAAGGATGGGTTATTTAGCGGCTTCCAAGAATTTTGGCGTTCTTGGGAGCACACTATTTCGCTGTTGTAGGGAAAGTGGTGATTATATTAACAAAACGTCACTTGGAAGAAAGCCAGTTTCACCACCAGGCCTAGAAAAGGAATTGGTAACTTATCTCCTAGAAATGGAGCGGAAATATTTCGGCCTTACACGCCGGGACTTACGTAGAATGGCTTTTCAGCTAGCCACACGTAATAATTTGAAGCATGGGTTTTCCTTTCTGAACGAACTCGCGGGCAAGGATTGGCTTTATGCCTTTCTAGAACGACATAAAGACACCCTCAGCGTAAGAAAGCCAACAGGAACTTCAGAGGCAAGAACAGTCGGCTTTCATAGGGAAAATGTCACTCAATTCTTTGACTTGTTAGAAAGCCTCCTGGAATCGTATCTATAACGTCGATGAGACAGGCTTATGCATAGTACAAAGTAGATTTTCGGAGGTTATCGCAATGCGAGGAAAGCGGCAAGTTGGCGCACTTACCTCACCAGAAAGGGGGTCCCTTGTTACAGTTGTTCTCTGCATGAGCGCAGGTGCGACTTTCGTCTCCCCTATAATTATTTTTCCTAGAAAGAAATCTAGCGAGCAACTTAAAAAAGAGGCTCCACCAGGGTCCCTCTTTGCCTTTCATCCATCTGGGTGGATCCAAGCGGGCTTATCCACCCAATGGTTCGACCATTTCTTAGAGCACACCAAACCCACTCAAGAAAGTATTATACTACTGGTATTAGATGGGCATCATACTCATACCACAAATTTGGATGTCATTCTAAAAGCTAAGGAACATTTGTGTCGATTATTTGTTTGCCTACTCATACGACGAACAAAATGCAACCGCTCGATAAGACAGTAATGGGAGCTCTGAAAACTTATTACAGTGAAGAAGTTGGAGTTTTTATGAGAACGACTAACATAGTGATAACTCATTTCGGCGTATGTTAATTATTCGGGAATGCCTACTTAAAAATCCAGACAGGAGAGAGAGCAGTGAAAGGCTTCAGTTCTACTGGAATTTATCCAGCTAGCCGAAATATATTTTCAGAAAGAAGACTTTTTAGCAGAAAGTCAGCTTCAAAACGAAGCAAGAATGGATCTAAATATCACTACCCTTCCTTCAAATATTATCCCATTACTACAGCTTAAAAAGAAAGAAGGAACACGTGGCAGAAAATGTGGCAAGGCGGTGATACATTGACGCCAAATAAGAACGAATTAGAGCAAAGTATTTCAGTTGCTTCAAAGCAGAAAGAAAAGGTTGTGAGAAGGATTGATGATGACACACCAGTACCTCAGACGTGATTTCTATTTTCTGTGAAGAATTATTTTCTAAAAGTAAAAGCCGAGAAATTTGGATTCAATGTGTCATGTGCGAATGCTGGGCACATGAAGCCTGTACAGGCCACGAGCATGAAACATACATATGCGACTTTTGTAAATAGCAGTTCTTTAACATAACCAAATAAAAAATAAACAACTATAATTTTTGTTTTGTATCTATTACTTATGTCGTATCTCATATATCATATTACCAGATAACGCTATTCCATATTACTCGCCAGCTGTCTTGGGGCCTAAAAATGACAGATGACATTAAATATATTTTTGTCATTTTTTGACTACATGTTATTTGCTAAATACATATATATTTTTTTTCGTAAAATGAATGCATTTGGCCACCCATATTCTTATAACTATCAATTGTTACTCTATTGTAGTAATCTATAAGTGCAGAATAAAAATGGGTATTCCATATTCACCGAACTTTCTCTAATCGAAGAAATCTAAGAAAAGAGATGTGTAACTTTTGGTCCCATCCAAGGGGTTAGAAGTTGCAATTCATGGGGTAAGATGTTACATTAAAGATCAAGCTTAATAAACTGCTTTTCATTAGCAATAAGTATCATAATCACTTTCTTTCCTAGATGTAAATGGCATTTAATTATGTCTCAGGTCAGTCTGTGACCTCATCAAGACAAAATAGTAGTATCCTTCTAACTTAAAACAAAATCACAACTAGTCTAAAAAAGTCGTCTCATATTTTTACACCTCCTGAAACCAATAATTTCCGACCTACATTAATAAGATTATAAACCTTTTATTGAATAGAGGCTTGGTATGAGTTTACAATACAAAAAATAAAGTCTCATAATCAAAAATAAACTATGCTCTTCAAAAAAATCAGAAAAGGAGAACAAGCACTCGAGTCACTGTAGCCTGAACAAGCACTTTCGCAATTCAAGCAAACGTATTGGGCAATATTGCCCTTTACGCATTTCACATCTGACCAAGTCTTACAAAGTAAACACTGTACCCATTTTTCTCCATCTTTCTTCGGATCAAAAAAGTCACAGCGTATCAGACAAAAACATCCATCATCTCCAGTTTCTTCGTCAGTGTCATATAATAACTTCCTCTTTACAAAAATCTTCCTTTGTTTGACTTTTCTTTCTGGTATCGCCTTGTTCATTATTCTTTCTTGTTCTTGACCTTGCCTTTCCTTCGTTAATTTTTCTTTCTTCGATTTATTTCCCTTTTTCGTGCCCTGTTCCAGTACCAAAGCTTTTTTTCAGTCCGTATGCCAGTTAGTACAGGTGTTTTTTGTGTTATTATACTAGAAGTCTTCATCCCGGAAAATATTTTTATTAAACGGTGCAATACCAGTTATTTTAAAAACATTGATGATGTTGGTTGGCTTTAATGCTAACAAATATTAAAGCTTAAATTATATGTCGAAAAATATCACTGAGGGGCAGGTAGTGACAAATCACAACCTGCCTCGAACAAATGTCACTTGTAGCCCCAACCCCAAAACTGACTGTTAAATTTTTTTTACAAAAAAAAGCAATTAGATACAACTGCAAGTTTTACCACAGCACGCACTGGCTCCTTTCAAAATAACCTTGGAGCTACTAGCCGATCATGGCATGACTATTTATCTCTTTCTACGCCAATGTAGCTTTCTCTGTTCCACCACTGAGGCCATTGTAACTACTTACTCCCGTAACAACCAGCCACAGTCTCCCTTACAGTGTGTTACGATAATAGTCAATACATGTTAGAAAGAGACTGAAGCCGGCTGAAATGCGAAATTCACCACATTGCCTAGCAACGCTGACGCAGAAGGTGGTGCAATCTGCCGCGTCGCCAATATCTCATAACAAAACATTTTTGCACAGGCAATAGGTTAGGTTACTGTCAAACCCAAGAGGGAGATCTGTTCGAACATTTAATTTGATATTCTGTTTTCAAATTGATTAGAATTATTAATTTTAATTTTGATGCGAATTAGTGTTTTAATTTATTTTAGAATTGATTTCCACCGATAGTGATAAAATCATCACATCCTGAGTTAATGTTATATTTTGCGACAGTAAGCGGTCGGAAAATGTGTGCGCTCAAAATAAAACCATTATTTGGGCGTAAAAAATAAACTAATCCTAATTGAAGGAACTGGTGTAAATATTGGCACTCGGGAGATTGCCGCGTCAGCGTTGCTAGACAACGCGGTGATGAGCCTCTATCTCTTACTAACATTTGTATCTATACACACCTCTCTCTCATACACATTGAACTCAACCCGTCAAACAAATTTGGTTCTCATTGTATTTTAAGGATATATATATATAGTTATAAGGAGTCCACTTTAGCGCTCCGCGATGCTTTTGCAAATGATGACTTAACTGTTTTTATATCTATACATTTATTTTTTGGAACATAAACGAGAAACACGGACTTGTGTGATACAGATATCTTTAACACGTTCGATACCAGTAAAATGTTGTTACATGCAGTCAGGGGCCAAGGGGTTTTTAATTTTTTTTTGCCTGGAAATTGCTTTAAATGATACTAAATTGTAATTATCGACACTACAGGTAGAATTTAGGTCAAATCGCGTACGTAAAAGTTCTCAAAAATGTCTAACCTGTAAGCCTATTCACCCGTCCGAACTATACTAGCGAGCCACCTGAACTGAAGCACCATATAATAATAGACCACACGCGCCGCCCTATGGCGACGGAGGCACATCAGTCTAGACATCAGTGTTGCCAATAGGCGGCAGTGGCATTGAACGTGTTAAGCAACAGAAGACTTGTGAGATAAAAAACGAATATTATCGCGATTCAATACTTCCATCGGTTACGTAGTCGCATATTTCGAAAAATTTTTCAGTAGCTGCGGAACTATGGACAAAAAAATATAAATCGCCTTAACATAGTGTTACAACAATTTAGAGATTCTTGCTCATTTCCAGACATTATCTTGGGGGGTTCAATTTTGTTTATTGGAAGCTGTATGTGGTAAATCGTTGGATGTTGTATACTAAGTGACATATAAAATGCAATCCGAAGAAATCCTGCTTAAGTGGCCTCCGATCTTCAGACCTTTCCTCCATAGAACATGTATGACACATGACGGGAAGAACGTTGCAAAATTCACTGCCACCTCCACAAACATTGGAACCTTTTCGAAACCAAATTCAGATGGCCTGGGAGACAATACACTAAGAAGACATGAATTAACTTTGAGGTTGAATATCTCAGCCGACTTGCGAAACTTCAAGTTAAAATTTCAATCATTTTCTTTTTATCAGTAGACCTAAACTTAAAAGTATGCTACCCAACTAGCAAGGTAGTACTATAAGCTTTTGGTAAAAGAACCATTCAGCCATAAAAGCTCTCTATTGTTATTGCCTGAACACCAAAATGCTGGCTTAATGTTGTGTGGTATGCAAATTTGCTTTCTGCAACATATTTGCTCTAAAATGAGGCGTTTAAAATATTCTTTAGCATAGTTATACAACACCTTATAGGACAAATTTTTTGCTGTTGCATAATCGTTTATACAACTATTTTATACGGCATATTTGCACGTCAGTCAAAATGGTTATGTTGTGGCATCCATGGTAACGTTTATAAAACAAACCCACGCCTTGTTATTTTGCTGTGCATATTACTACTTCAGCCAACAAGTATACAACTGTTGTTTAGGAAGTGTTAAAGGCTGTATATATGCTAAATATGTTGGTATACAACTTCACCATAACCTAACTTTCTGCTGTCGTATTTTTGTTAAAATGCCATAACCAATGATTTAAGACAAACAACGCATGCATATTGGTTCAAAAGGTTTTATCAACTGTTCAAACAGAATATATAGATCTGGTACAAATTATGGGTAAATCATTGGATTCTGTCGGTATTTCATTTCAGACATTTGTCAAATTGTTGTATAACACCTGCAGGCAACACCAAAATATTCTAATAAACTGAAGACAACATGGACGATGCCATGATTATACACAACCACCAAACATTTATTCCTCTATTTAATATTAAATAATTATGTTTCAGTTCGAAATTACAGATATAAAGAGATAAACATTAGTGTAATTGTGTCTAAATATAGAATTTGTGGAAGATTTGACGCAGATAACTTTAGTTTTCCATCTTAAAAATCTAGACATACTTTTGATCATTATCAAAATATGCATGAAATAAGAGGCCCGTAGAAATTGCGTAACTACCTTGCACGATAATCACAATAAAATTTGCTGCGCAAGTGATTCAATAGCCCTATATCACAGTGTAGAACTTTATCATATACCTGTGTATGAAATTCACAATGGCCGATATGTAAGTAAACAAGATGACTGTAATGTGTTAGTTATATATTCTTCACTTCGTCTATGTAATACATACATAAGAAATAGTTTGGTTGCAATAAAGTAGAATCACGTAACAGTAGTTGTATAGTTGACAAAAACTGAATCTTGCACTGACCCAAATGTCCTATAGCGGCTGCAAGGGGCTTACTCTTTTGTTGTATAAATGTTACCTGCAGCCCTTATACAACCTCTTAAATGACTGAAGTGTCCTATTAGGTGTGCCCATTCCGCTGGTATAGCTGTTCTAAGAGGGTCTTGCCAATGTTCTTACAGTATACAATGCTGTGTAAGGAATACTGTATAATCATTTTTGCAACTCTAATAGGAGTGATAATTGTTAGTTGGGTCAAAATTACTGCACTTCTAGTCGGTGTTGTATTTTCTATGTCGTTTAGTATATTAAGAAGCTAATGATTCCGGGAATACCTGTTGGATATAACGCGTCACACATTTTTAGTCCTACATCAGCCATGGAAACACAAATATGACAGGCTTATTTCATATAGTTTGATTTGTAGAGGTCTAAGATACATCGTACCTGAGTGAACCTAGCTAATCACGTTTCGATTCCTCCTTTCGAAACCTCATTGCGCGGCTGCTTCTTTGTTCCAGTTCCGTCAGTACAGTTCA